TGCAGAATGACATGTTTTTACTTTTCCGAAATGTACAGCAACGAAGCTGCCGAGTACCACCCGACCTGCCGCGTAGCGGCAGAGAGCGGCTGGTATATTCATACTTTGCTAAGTTTGCAGAAACGTCTTTTATCCTTCTACTTTTTTCACCGCACTATCGGCTTTTCTTGCGGAAGAAAAGTGATGTGAATAGGCATCGCTCTCACGACTATGGTCCTTTCTCACATAGGATTGCATGCCGTATTAAGCATATGCAATAGGGGTAGTCATCCTTCAACCTTCTTCTTTTTCTTTGCGCAAATGTATGATTACAGCATTGCATTGTACAACTTTGTGAAGCCTTTAAGGGACAGAATTACATACAAAGGTGTGGACTTGTTGGATTTTGAACCGGTCTGTGTACTTACACTCCCACGACTTCGGCAGCGCAAACAGTGCGAAATCAGTGCCTCCATCGATAGCATGAATGAATCATAAAGACTAAAATTTGTGAATTTGATTTATTCGATTTAAGAGTGTTAAGAAAATGTGAAACAATGCTATGGAATGAATTACGGAAACGAATGCAAGCATATACTGCATTATTGTGAAAAACTGCAAAAAATGTAAGATTCGATAATTATCCAGTGGCTCCACCATGGAATGTGTGACTCTCAGTGCCACCATGTCCAAAACCTTTTGGTCCAAATAGGGCACCATAGCACTGATTGCAGTATGGTTTGCCTTCACGCTAAAAAAAGATTACTAGCATTCAGAATTCGCAATATAATCAGAAATCCGACCTCAGCATGGCTGCCAGCACTCAAAACTTTCTTACAATTCTCATTGGCACATCGAAGGCATGGTTTGTGCCAGTCCTTGCCAAGCGATGTGACTCGTTCGGCTAAAATATGATGGGAATACGATTGTGATATTGCGAGCCCCGAATCAACATAGCATAATTCTGAGTGTATGCAAACAATATTTCTCGTTTTTCAGCTTGAATCCTCCTACCCTTAGCTTTACCCCTTCCCTGTCATCGATTTTCTGAATCCTTTTAAAGCTTCTTTGATACTGTCATGCTAACACTAACTTGCTCGTGCAATACAGAAAGGAGATACGCCCTTTAGCAGCATATTCCACTAACCCGGTAATCAAGCAGGATCAAAACGAAACGCTTATTCGAAATAAGTG